ATACTACCAACATCCAAAATGTGCCCTCCAGCCCCTTTATTAGTTACTAACCCAGTTCACCTAAAGTAATTGCTACTATAATTTCCAGTACCACAGATTAATTCTGCCTTGTTTTGAACGTTATATTGTATTTTTTAACAGATATCCCTTCACAGAAATTGTATAATTTCCTACTTCCACCTAACTATATATATGAAAATGCTCTTTTCCTAACATCTTCAACAACCCAAGGGGTTATTAAACTTTTTTATCTTTGCCAGTTAGGTGAAAAATATGTCCTATTTTTATTTCATGTTTTTCTTATAATGAAGTTCAGCATCTTTTCATATATTTAAGAGCCATTTGTATCTTTATTTCTATCTATAGTCCTTGTCCTTTCTTATTTTCTAATGGATTTGTAAATGTACTGCAGTATATGTTAAAGAACCCTTTCTGAATATATTTATTATTTTCCCTACAGACAATTTTATCATGCTTTTCTTTTTCACCTATCTCTTGGGAATAATATTGGTTTTTTCCTAACTAGTGCAGTTGAGTGTCTTTCTCAGTGTTTTTTGATTATTTGCATTTTCTCTTCTAGACATTGCTTCTTGAAATCCTTTGTTTTCTATTGGATTATCTTCTGATATCTAGAAATTCTTTTTATATTAGCAATAGTATCTCTTTATACTGTTACATCACAAAAAGTTCACCCCCTTTGTCAGTAGTCTTTTAAAATTTTATGGTATCTTTCTTATTTTGTAACAGCTTTATTGAGATGTAATTCACATACCATATCATGACCCATTTGAAGTATACAATTTAATGGCTTTAGCATATTCTCAGAGTTGTGCAACCATCATTGCAATCATTTGAGAATATAGTCATCACGACAGAAAGAAACCCTGTACCCATTGTCTGTCATGCTCCCATCATCCCCCAGCTCCAGGCAACCACTCATTTACTTTATGTATCCATTGATTTGCCTATTCTGGACATTTCATATAAACGGGGTCATATTGTGTGACTGGCTTCTTTCACTTGTAGCAGGACGAGGCGCAGACAAAACTCCTCAGACACCGAGTTAAAGAAGGAAGGGGTTTATTCGGCTGGGGGCATCGGCAAGACTCCTGTCTCAAGAGCCGAGCTCCCCAAGTGAGCAATTCCTGTCCATTTTAAGGGCTCACAACTCTAAGGGGGTGCGTGTGAGAGGGTCGTGATTGATGGAGCAAGCAGGGGTTACATGACTGGGGGCTGCGTGCACCGGTAATTGGATCAGAACAAAACAAGATAGGGATTTTCACAGTGCATTTCTATACAATGTCTGTAATCTATAGATAACATAACCGATTAGGTCAGGGGTCGATCTTTAACTACCAGGCCCAGGGTGCGGCGCCGGGCTGTCTACCTGTGAATTCATTTCTGCCTTTTAGTTTTTACTTCTTCTTTCTTTGGAGGCAGAAATTGGGCATAAGACAATATGAGGGATGGTCTCCCTTACACTTAGCATAATGTTTTCAAGATTCATCCATGTTGTAATATGCATTCAGTACTTTATTCCTTTTAATTGCAAAATAATATTCTGTTGCATATATATTCCAGATTTTGTTTATCCAGTGATCATTTGATGGACATTTGGATGGTTTCCACCTTTTGGCTATTATAAATAATACTGCTATGAACACTGATGTACAAGTTTCTGTTTGGATTTTTGCTTGTTTGTTTTTCTTGGACTATGGCTGGAAATGAATTACTGGGTCAAAGGAGAACTTTATGTTCAGCCTTTTAAGGAATTGCCACGTTGTTTTCCAAAGCAGCTGCACCATTCCACATTTCCATCAGAAATGTATAAGAGTTCCAGTTTCTTCACATCTTCAGCAATATTTGTTATTCTTGGACTGCTTTATTGTAACCATCTTAGTGTGTATAAAATGTTAACTCATTGTGGGTTTTTTTTTTTACCATCTTAACCATTTTTTAAATTGTGGTTAAAAATGTGTCACACAAAATTTGCCATCTTAACCATTTTTAAGGTATAGTTCAGTAGAGTTATGTGTATTTGCATTGTGGTGAAACACATTTCCAGACCTTTTTCTTCTTGCAAAACTGAAACTATACCCATTAAACAGCTCCATTTTTCCCCTTCCCCGTAGCCCTGACTAAGCACCATTCTACTTTGTCTCTGTGAATTTGACTACTTTAGATAACTCATTAAATGAAATTATACAATAATAAGTGGTTAGATAACTCATTAAATAAAATTATACAGTAAGTGGAAATTATACAATAACTGCTTATTTCTCCTAACATAATGTCTTCAGGGTTCATCCATATTGTAATATGTGACAAGATTTCCTTCCTTTTTAAGACTGAATAATATTCCGTTGTATGTATTTACCATATTTTATTCATTCATCTGTCAGTGGACATTTGGCTTGCTTCCGCCTGTTGGCTATTGTGACTAATGCTGCCATGAACATGGGCATGCATCTCATAGTGATTCTGCTGTATATTTTTCTGATAGCTAATGATGTTGCGCATCTTTTCATGAGCTTATTGGCCATCTGTATATCTTCTTTGGAGAAATACCTATTCAGATCCTTTTCCTATTTGTCAACTGGGTTGTCTTTTTATTGTTCAAGTTTAAGAGTTCTTTTATTATTTTGTCTTTGTCAAATATGCGTTTTATATAGGGAGGTAAACTCTAACTTTATTTTTTTCCAAGTAACCAATTATCCAGCACCATTTACTGAATAATCTACCTTTTTTTTTTTTTTAGACAGGATCTCCCTCTGTCACCCAGGCCGGAGGGCAGTACCATGATCTCAGATCACTGCAACCTCTGCTTCCTGGCTCAAGTGATCCTTCTGCCTCAGCCTCCTGAGTAGCTGAGACCACAGATGCGTGTCACCACATCTGGCTAATTTTTTTTTTTTTTTTCTGGTAGAGACAGGGTTTCTCCATGTTGTCCAGGCTGGTCTCAAACTCCTGAGCTCAAGTGATCTACCCACCTCAGCCTCCCAAAGTGCTGGGATTACAGGCGTGAGCCACTGTGCCTAGCCTGAATAAACCATCTTTTTTTCATCCTTTAACAAGTATTTATTGAGCAAATATGTTGGGTGAGACCCTGAGAAAATAAGGAATAAAATGATGCAGAGGTAACATCTGTGTGCAAAGACATATGTGTGCGTAAATAACTGTGGGTCAGCTAGATAATGGTTTAAATGAAGGCTTGTGCAAATCATTTTGGAACAATTGGAAAAGAGCTACCAATGTCTACCTAAACTTTAGGGAAGAAGATAAAAGGAGAGTGAGAAGTGAGGGTTTTCATAATAAAAGAGTGAGAACCAGGCACTGTGCTGGGGAAGGAAATTTAAACATTGAAAACTGCTTGCTAGTGTAAAATATTTATTTCACTGTTTCCTCAGGTTGAATTTAATGCAAATATTCTATAGTAAATGAACAGGTATTCTCTTCTGTGATGAAATATGTCATGCTCATTTCTTGGTACCTTTTACCTTACATCCTCTGTGTCTTAGTCCATTTAGGCTGCTATTAACATAAAAAAAAACCTGGCCAGGCCCGGTGGCTCACACCTGTAATCCCAGCACTTTGGGAGGCTGAGGCAGGTAGATCACAAGGTCAAGAGATTGAGACCATCCTGGCCAACATGGTGAAACCACGTCTCTACTAAAAATACAAAAATTAACTGGGCGTGGTGGCATGCGCCTATAGTCCCAGCTACTAGGGAGGCTGAGACAGGAGAATCGCTTGAACCCAGGAGGCGGAGGTTGCGGTGAGCCAAGATCATGCCACTGCACTCCAGCCTGGTGACAGAGCAAGACTCTGTCTCAAAAAGAAAAAAAAAAAAAAAAACCTTAGGGTAATTTATAAACAACAGAAATTTATTGCTCACAGTACTTGAGGTTGGGAAGTCCAAGGTCAAGGTACTGGCAAATTCAATGTCTGGTAAGGTCTCACCTCTACTTCAAAAATGGCACCTTGTTGCCATGTCCTCACATGGCAGAAGGGGTCAAGAGAAATTACTGGAGCCTCTTTTGTCAAGGCATTAATCCCATTCATGAGGATGGAACCATTGTGACTTAATCTCTTCACAAAGGCCCCACCTCTTAACATTGTCACATTGGGTATTAGGTTCCAAGATATGAATCTGGGGGGATACCAACATTCAAATCATCGCACCCTGCCTAAGACAAACATTTGTATTAGAATGATTGTCATTCCATAGTCATGTAATATAAACAAACAGAATCAACCATTTTCTTCTGGATATGTGTAATATACAGACAAATATTCACAATTATGAAAATAATTTGTGCTTACCGAGAACTATCAGCTCTTTATCTTATAACGTATAGCATTTTTAAATAATAGCATATAATGTCTGCTTTCTTATCAAAGCTATCACTTCACCAGAAGTGGTACAAATATGGTTTTATTTCGGAACTCATATTATTTAGATAGAGATTGTTCAGATATTTTAACCTATTTTTGCTGATTATAGAATAAATGTATCACAAAGTTATTTTTGTTTATTTGTTGTAGACTCATCAATTATTTTATAGTTATGCTCTCTATATTAGTTATCAAGGGCACCGAAAATCTTTGACCCAGAATTACATAATGGGAAAAGTCTAGTTTGAGATATAAAGTGCTGAATGCTCTATTTGTTTTTCTTAGTATACATTTAGTTGGTTCTCATTTAGCACCCCTCTGTCAGAATCTAAGGTTCTATTTTAGGTATGGTATGATATAATCATAATTTATCTCACCTATATAGTTCACAAAATAGTAGCATCTTGACAGTTTAGGTTTTTGAAATATTGGTATAAAGTGAACAACAGAACTTTAATTTGCTCAGATCTAAAGAAATGGAATTGGTTTCTGCTTGTGATTATGAATCAATAGAGTATATTAATGGATCTTAGGGAGAAAATTAGAGCTCACTTTAAATATAAACTTATAATAGTAATAATTGCCTGTTGTTTATTTTTCCACAGTTCTTAGTGGTCTGTGTTCTAATGACTGTCCTCGTAAGATAACAGTAAGTAAACTTAACTCTGTTATAAATGTGTCTATGAAAATTCTCTGTATAAGTAGACTCACACAAAATAGTTGTTATAGATTATAATCAAATATCATCATTATTTGGCAGTAAAGAATCCTTCATTACTCAAGAAAACTGTGCTGAAAGTAAAGTACCTTTCCTAAAAACAGTCTTACCTGAAGGGTCGTCTTTATGAAGTCTTTTCTGATATCCTTAGAGGAGTGACTACCCCTCCAATTGTTTTAAGACATTTTGGTATTTATAATATTTCATTACCCTTGTTTAGATTAGATGCCTCTCCACACCAGGACTGTAACCCCCTGAGGTCAAGAACCACGTCATCTTGTGTACCTGGTATAGGTCACAGAGCCAAGCATATAGTAGGCAATTAGTGACTTTTCTGTGTGTAGTCTTAATATTGACTTGCTGTCTAATAGAATGTTTCAGTGAAATAACAAATGTGAAAATAATTAGTTTTTGTCAGAACCAATTCATGTAAACTGAAATAAGAATACTGTATTTGAAAGTATGCATGTGTTTATGTGTGTGTACAGGGAACTGTTTGGGGTCTTTGCAGTAATCCTTGTTTCAAAAGAAATTAGCCAGTGTTTAAAGATAAGGAAACTGAGACACAGAGAAGTTAAATTATCCAAAGTCATGGAGCTATTAAATAGTGGAACTGCAATACAAACTAGATGTTCTCATTATTGTCTCATATTCTTACAGTGTCATTAAACATTACATTGACAATATTTTATGTATAGTTGGGAAACTTCCCATATTTAAGAAGTATGGAAACAGACCCTGACACAGGGATATAATCTAGATTCAAATTGGGGACAACACCTCTGAAGTAGTGAAGAAAGCAGCAGTGGCAGAAGGAGAAGATGCATGGGGAGCTCTGGAGCTAAGATGATCCTTCAAATGTGGCCCGAACTGAGCCAGAGGGGCCCAGCCTTTGAACTCTTGCATCAATCACACATCACATCCAGACAGGCCTCCAGGAAAGTGTTAACATTTGTATAAGGCAGCTCCCTTTGGCTAAGAACAATCTCCAGGTAGGAACCCTGCTGTGAGCTATTAGCAGCCAACACAGGCCAGCTCAAGGAATAAGTGTGTAGGTCCTGAAGAGAAGATCTGGATGAGGCATCACCACAGTCACTGCCATGTGCATGTGAATGTTTGGTCCAACCCATATACTTTTATATCACTGTAAAACTGTGGATGGGATTCATCAGCCTAAAGATTAACTTGGTCATTCAGATATTATCTACCTACTTTGTGAAACATTCAGACCTACATTTCTCCCTCTAACTAACCATATCTCCATTCTGTGGCTCTTTGATTATTGCATGGTCATGCAAAGAACTTTAAAAAGTTATAGTTGAAACCACTGATTTTACTTACAAGTTCTAGATGGAAGTTTGATAGTAAGTGCTGTATAGCCAAGGTAGGTGACACTTCTTTTTTTTTTTTTTTTTTGTGAGACGGAGTCTTACTCTGTCCCCCAGACTGGAGTGCAGTGGCACAATCTCCTCACTGCAAGCTCCACCTCCCGGGTTCACACCATTCTCCTGCCTCAGCCTCCCTAGTAGCTGGGACTACTAGGCACCCGCCACCATGCCTGGCTAATTTTTTATATTTTTAGTAGAGACGGGGTTTCACCGTGTTAGCCAGGATGGTCTCGGTCTCCTGACCTCGTGATCCGCCCACCTCAGCCTCCCAAAATGCTGGGATTACAGGTGCGAGCCACTGCACCTGGCCAGGCAGGTGACACTTCTAAGATCCATAAGGCTTCCTGTCTCCTTATCTTAAAATATTAAGCCACTTCTATCTTACAGTGAACAGAACCATTTGGAAAGTCACATAAGTAAAGTCCAACATGCAGAACTGCCTTTGTAATGACTACCCTTACCACCCAGCACCTTTGGGCTTTTCTGCAGATAATGTATCTGCCTCCCATTAATTCATTTATGACTTTCTTTGAAATTAAGATCGTGTTGAGCTGCCCTTCACATATATCATTTTCCTTCTCTCTGATATTTTACTGATACCATAGATCACAATTTTATCAGCATGTAAACAAATGCACAGTGTACTTACCCAGTATCACAAATGTCAAATATATGCCCACTTGTGAAATTATTTACTTCTTGAAAAAGTGGTTCTTCTTCATATTCCTTTGACATCAGATCATAGTAAAAAGTGTTATAATGGATATGACCCAGTGTGAAACAGAGAGAAAATGTACATCCGATATAGTATTCTCTTCCACTTGAGTTAATTCATGAGTTGAATAGCTCTTCTGCTGGTTATGTGTTCTGTCACACCTGATAGGCAGACTATCAGGTGTATAGAAAGAGGAAAAAATTACTCCGCTCATGAACCGATCCCACCCATATTCCTTCATCTCCATTTTGAAAACTTCAGAGTGTTTTATTCATATTCAGTTTTAGCTATTCACTCCCATGGCCATAGCCCGAACCTAATCTACCAGAATGGTTTCACTTCTGAAACCCTAATTTCATTTATCCAACTCTGACCACAGCCTATTTTCCAGCTCTCCCACTCTGTTACTCTAATTATACCTGTTCCACTTTAAAACCAGTAGTCTCTCAACCTGTATCAGCCCACTGTTGTCTTTACCCACCTCCTTATTTAGTTACCACACACCAACATTACTTCTGCCAGTACCTTGAACTCCTGTAAAGCACTGACTTTCCACTGTACCTGCCTGGGAGAATTTCAGCCCTGGGTTAGTCCAGCTATCTCTTATTCCCTCCTATGCCTAAGATACTGGGCATTTCTGAAGAAAAACCTGTAGCTCTGCGTATTGGCACGGCCCCCTCTGTATTAGTCCATTCTCACGCTGCTATGAAGACATACCCATGACTGGGTAATTTACAAAGAAAAGAGGTTTAATTGACTCACAGTTCTGCATGGCTGGGGAGGATTCAGGAAACTTACAATCATAGTGGAAGGCACCTCTTCACAGGGCAGCAGGGGAGAGAATGAGTGCCAGCAGGGAAAATGCCAGATGCATATAAAACTATCAGATCTCCTGAGAACTCACTATCACGAGAACACCATGGGGGAAACCGCTCCCGTGAATCAGTTACCTCCCACCAGGTCCCTCCCATGACATGTGGAGATTATGGGGATTACAATTCAAGGTGAGATTTGGGTGGGGACACAGTCAAACCATATCACCCTAATTCATGGTTTTCAACCTCACATGAGCACTTTTTGTATTATATCACAGTTTTATGTGGAATCCCAGTCATATTTTCTTCCATTTCTTTTTTCTGGCTTCTTTCAAGATTTTCTCTGTTTTTGATTTTTTGCAGTTCAAATATGATATGCTTGGGTATAGATTTTTTCAATATTTCTCCTGCTTGGTGTTCTCTGAGCTTCCTGGTTTTGTGGCTTGAGGTCTGTCATGAATTTTGGAAATTGCTCAATCATTATTACTTCAAATATTTCTTCTTTTGCCTTTCTCTCTTTCTTCTTCTTGTATTCCTACTATGTGTATTTACACCTTTGGCATCTTCAAGCTTAACTGATTCTTTCTTAGGTCATGTCCAATCTATCAATGAGTCCAATAAGGCATTCTTCATTTATTACAGTATTTTTTATTTCTATTTCCTTTTAATTCTTAGTTTCCATCTCTCTGCTTACATTAACCATCTGTTCTTGTATGTTGTCTAATTGTTTCCATTAGCACCCTTAGCATGTTAATCATAGTTACTTTAAATTCCTGGTCTGATAATTCCAAAACGTCTGCTATATATGAGTCTTGTTTTGATACTTGCTTTGTCTCCTCGGACTTTTTGTTTTGTTTTGTCTTTTGCCTTTCAGCATGCCCTGTAATTTTTTATTGAAAGCTGGATATGATGTGTTAAGTAAAGGGAACTAAGGTAGAGAGACCTTTACTGTGGAAGTTTTAAGATTGATCTGACTAGGAATTAGGCTGTATTTACTGTTTGCAGTAGCTGTTGTGTTGGAGACAAATATTTCCTCTAGTGTCCTTGTTTTTGTCTCCTTTGGTGTGTCGGTTTCCTTCTTAAATGAAAGATAGCCAGTGATGACGAGCATTTTTTCATGTGTCTGTTGGCTGTATGCATGTCTTCTTTTGAGAAATGTCTGTTCATATCCTTTGTCCACTTTTTGATGGGGTTGTTTTTTCCTCGTAAATTTGTTTGAGTTCTTTGTAGGTTCATCACTGGCCATCAGAGAAACGCAAATCAAAACCACAATGAGATACCATCTCACACCAGTTAGAATGGCAATCATTAAAAAGTCAGGAAACAACAGGTGCTGGAGAGGATGTGGAGAAATAGGAACACTTTTACACTGTTGGTGGGATTGTAAACTGGTTCAACCATTGTGGAAAACAGTATGGCAATTCCTCAAGGATCTAGAACTAGAAGTACCGTATGACCCAGCCATCCCATTACTGGGTATATACCCAAAGGATTATAAATCATGCTGCTATAAAGACACATGCACACGTATGTTTATTGCGGCACTATTCACAATAGCAAAGACTTGGAATCAACCCAGATGTCCATCAGTGACAGACTGGATTAAGAAAATGTGGCACATATACACCATGGAATACTATGCAGCCATAAAAAAGGATGAGTTCATGTCCTTTGTAGGGACATGGATGCAGCTGGAAACCATCATTCTGAGCAAACTATCGCAAGAACAGAAAACCAAACACCGCATGTTCTCACTCATAGGTGGAAATTGAACAATGAGATCACCTGGACTCTGGAAGGGGAACGTCACACACTGGGGCCTATTATGGGGAGGGGGGACAGGGGAGGGGTGGCATTGGGAGTTATACCTGATGTAAATGATGAGTTGATGGGTGCAGCACACCAACATGGCACAAGTATACATATGTAACAAACCTGCATGTTGTGCACATGTACCCTAGAACTTAAAGTATAATTTAAAAAAAAAAGAAAAAGAAAAAAAGAAAAGTATTA